TATTAGGTGTTTAACGTCTTGTCTTTTTATATCCTTGCTATCGTAATTATGGCGTGCTCTTCTATTCAATCACGTCAGCAAATTATTTTCATTATCTATAGCATCATTAGAAGATTATGTAATTTATTAATCCATGTTTTTTGTTTAATTTCCCTCGTTCTTCTGTTCATTTGGTTTTTAAATTTCATTATATGTAAATAGTAAGGCTTCTCATATGGGTGTGTGTAGTATATAATGACGTTCTGTTATTAATACATAAATACAAGACATTATTTGATTACTACCAATGCTGCTAGTAACCTCCAACACGCATTGACATCTGCTTTTCGGTTCTAATTCATTTCGCGATTGTGGCTTTCTTCCATTTCGAAACCGCTGACATGCTTTTCTGTGGTTCTGTGGTGTTTCTGTTTCAAATTATCTTATTTCAAACTCTGTTCTGCGGATTTATAGACATTACGATCAGGTCAAAACATCGTTAGCAACTGTAACCCACCGCCAAAATAACACGTTTCTAAAAAACATGATTAATATTTTCCTATACACTCGTATCATTGTTGACCATTATATTATTACGAAACGACGTGACGCCTAAATTATATAACGCTCTGGGTATCCTCCTCTTTTTCTACTGACCTATGTATTGAGGTGTTTTCCACTGCTTTTTTTGACAAGGCGTATTAGTGTGTGTCTGCTTTGAAGCGTAGTTATCGTTATTCATGTACACACGAGTATATCTTTCATTAAAGGGAGGCTATGACTTCTGTTGTATGCTGCCCACTATTTATTGTTTATATACAAGAAAACTATCCCATCACTTACCGACAACGTAGCAGCCAAAATTATTCTGTTATTTGCGTTTTCCACGATTTAATACTACTAATCGATACTGTTGTGGGTCGGTATTTTTAGGCCATGAAAAATTAAAGCCATCGCCATAGAATTTTTTCAAAGGCTGAAAATCAAAAGGACTATTAATCCCTTTATAGGCTCTTTACCTTTGCCAGAATTAATTACTAACCACAATCGGAAAAAAAACGCTCGAGTATCGTACATGTCTAGAACGATTGGGTTTCATATCAGACAGCTATGTTTTGGTGTAAAAAAACAAACTTGAAAATGTATCCCGTGGAATCCTTAGGCGTAAACAAAAATCATATTTGTTTCTTTGTTTGTTCTTTATGCGCATTAAAGATACGTTAAAATATATGCAGTAGATTATATAACAACTGTGTATCATGTAACGTGTCTGTCCGTATATCGAATGTTCTTCAACAACTTTTGTACTGTGACTTCGTAAGACTGCATTATTTGGTTTCTCCATTTGTCGTTTGGTTTCTGCCATTGACGTGACCAAAAAACTTGGCTATATGTTTCCAATCTAATCACGGTAAGAGTATTTAATCTGTTCCGGATCTTTCTTACCTGCTATATTCTGTCGCCTTTATTAGCTACATTGAAAGGATTAATTGAACTTAAGTGTGAAATATTATACCAATAAAAAACAGGACACATTTTACATACAGAGGGCATGGTCTATTCAATGATCGTGTATGCGGTATCGTACGTAAGTTCCGGATGCCAAAGGCAGCGAAATAAACAAAACTGGTAGACCGGCTTGGATGGGTACCCCGGTAGTCAAAAATACAATACGTATCGGATCATGGGGGTAGTAAGGGAACACACATGTGGAAAGATTAGGAAGGGGCGCTTTGGGCTGACGGGCCTGGGGGGCGTACAGCGTGCGGTGTACCTACTCGGCCAGCCTCTAGTTCGGAGACGCATTTCAACGCTTTTCCGTACCCCGTGCGCTGGGCAGGCCCCACCGCCTCCCGACTTACCACACCATCTTATTTTTACCTTCGCCACTGTGTGTTTCTGTCTTTTGTTTTACTAAATATTGTTCGTCACTATATATTTTACATACTGATTAACTATAATAAAAAAATTAACCGACTCACATAGACGTGCTGTTGCTGCTGCGCAGATATTTTTTTGTCCGACATCACATCGTTCATTTTTAATCGAAAAAGCCTCGTCGCGTATGCATCATGCGGCATTACCAACAGTGACACATGTTTTGTCTACAGCCTTCCACTGAAAGTACACTGACTAAAAACGGATTTCACCCGAATTCCTTTAATAATCGATTACTTGCTAATTAGTTAGATTTTGAGACAGTATATCGGTCCCTCATACAGCTTATGTTTTTTTTGGTCTGTAACACCGGAAATGACATCGGAGTCACTATGCTTCAGCAACGCGAATAATAAATATTGGCATTGCGTACTTGTGAGTTTACCATCGGATCGTGAATCCTATGCAATTCGCCTGGCCAACAGAGACTCTGCTCATAATAAGACTAACAGTTACAATACTAACCAGTCAGAGCAACAGAAAAATCATGCTTATCGGAGTCACTAGCGCCCAAAATCCGATATCGTTATCTTGATTTGCAGTCATTGCAGTTGACCATCACACTGCGATGTATTTCTATTCAATTTGAGTATCCCAAAAAAAAAGTGAGGGGACTGTTTGTCTTGCCTATTCGGTCACGTCAAATTTTAAACACTTGGTAATAATTATACTAATAATAATAACAGTTAAAATTAGAAATACTATCCATAATTAGATCACAATTTTCGTCTGCCTTTTAATATATTTGTTGCTACGTATTAGTAAAGTGTTACACATGGGTGATTCTATGTGTCTGGCATGATATTAGATGTGAATTATATATGGTTTTGAACTCTTTGCCATACCAATAGTCGATCATGCGCATTATGCACACGAATAATGGCAATTAAATAGAAATAATGAATGAACTAATCCTCAAAATAAACGGTGTATATACGACGTGATAAACATTAAGCTTGGTTTTTTATATATATATATATACTCTTAATATCCATATATATACTCGTACACTGGTGAACAAACTAAGGTACATACAGTAACACGTTTCTACCCATACATTAACACACGTAGGGTGTTTCTTTGAGAAACCAGTCTGTCTTTTTTTGGGAACTTTCGTCGTTTCAATCGTTGCTATAGTTATTTCAAGCTACTATGGTAATTCTTTCTCTGATATAGCTCTCATGTGTCTTATTGGTTTGCGTAGAGGAGTTGCTTCACTTCATTTTGGTTTGTCTGCCACTTCCTGCATTAGTAATTCCTTTATTCAGCTGTTGTTTATATTTATATATATATATTTTAGTGCCTATCAGTGCTAATCGCCTGTTCAGTGGCCCAAACACCAAGGAATCATTAAAGTAATAAAGAATAGTCATTGAAAAAGGATACTCGCCGCTGTCCCACACAGTTTGACCTTAATAATGAATTTACGTCATGTGACATGTTCTTTGTAGCTCATTCATATAATATTAATGTGTATATAAGTAATCAAAAGTTCTTCATTGTTACCATGTAGATATGCTCGTGTGTGTGTGTTCGTGCGTGTGTCCATGTGAGGGACAAAAGTTATATTGATAAAACTCAACAAGTTTTACTTTTATCGTATCTGTTGTCAATTTGCGTCATCTGTAGATTCTATGCGACTTGTTTTCCTCCTAGTTACTTCTGAAAGTGTTTTCTCTTGGTGTAAGATTTGCTTCATTTCTAACGTGTCTAGCGTTTTTAACAAACGTTCGTGTGTCCCAGAACGGTAATCCATGCTTTTGTATATAGCAGTAGTATGAGGTTTACATCGGACCTGTTTCTTTCTAATAAATGGCGCTGTCTTTTTGACTGTCCAATAATGAGGCTGGGCCATTGAGACCGTTTTGCATTGCATCCA